GATTATTATGATTGTTTCTTAAAATGTTAGCACGATTAAATGTTTGATCAATATGTTTAGGTTTGGGAATTTAACCGTTTTTTTTTTTAACGTTAATAAATTGAATGTCTTAAAATTTTCCACACTCTCATTTAATTGTTCTTGGGTTTCACAGGGTAAATAATCATGGATTAATTTCATTCACTTGATGGGTGGCGTGGTTGGTTTGTCGCTGGCCTTCTGCACATATGGTTGAGTCCCAAGACGTGGATTTCCATGAAACAGAAAATCGACAACGACCAAGTCATATGATCGTACGATATGAAAAAAATCCCTTGAATGCATGTTTGGCTAGGGTGTTCTCGTCAAAATTGAAAACCTAAGTTAGGTTTCGCATTGCCAGAGCTCAAGTGCCTCTGGAAATGCGAAACCTTTGGGGAGGAAATAGTGGGTCAAAATTACATACGGTAAGCGGTTTCGCCTATATGAGGCCGCACTAAAAAGTGATAACAGCTTCTGGGAATGTATTAAAGCAGTGGTTAATTATTAATGCGTAACCCCATCGGAGCAGAAAAATTGCATTATAATTCGCATCACTAATAAATTTTATTTTAATTTGAATAACGATATCTATGAAAACTGTTGAAATAAAATACAATTTTTCCCAATTGCTTCTCTTTCTAAAATTGCATTTGCCTAAAATCCGAAAAAGAACTTTTCTATTGATTACGTCACAAATAATTTGCATTTTGTTGTCCTTAATTGAATGTGTTTCACTAAAAAGTTCTTCGGGGAGGGGGATATTACTAGCAATACATATTCTTTTGATTTTATTATATTCAATCTGGATTTGTTCTATAAACTTACAGCGTTACGATGACGCTTCAACCGAAATTATTAAAACTTATTTTATGTTTTACAAATACTTCATTCACTTTAACTCGACAGATAATTATTTATTTTTTAATCCCCCCCCCCCTATTTTCTCAACTGAAACATGATGCATGTAATTGTATCAAAAAGGAATTTATATTTTATGTAACAATGCAACTGACAAAACTAATGGATGGCTTAGCTAAGAATACGATTGTAATATAGTTCCAGGTGTAATATACATTTAGAAAATTTAAGATTAATGAGTTTATTTTCGTAAATGTAATTGCCGTTGCAAAATCGTATGGTTTATTATTACATAGGAGAATATATATTATAAAATGAAATTTGACAAATGAATAGAGAATTTAATTTGAGGGATAACCCCTATATTTTTATAATTAAAATATGTTTAGGATTCTACATTTCATGAAATTTAATGGTCAAATATTATACTTTTTTAAAAAATTATTTTTTATGATCCAAAATTTGATTTTTATAGTGTAGAAATATTCTAAGTTTTCATTGAATTAACTGATGAATAAAACATTCTGAAAATAAGAGAAATTTATTTTCGGAACATATTTTAATTATAATACACTATTATGTAAATGCATCGTCGCCCATCCGGTATAGTGGTTAGCGACGCCTATTCACATGCCATAGGGCCTGGGTTTGAATAACGGAGAAGCCACGGAACATTTTGTAGAGCAAACGCACTGAAACGATGACTCAGAAAGTATCTGATCCCTGATGAAATTGCTAATTTGGTGCGAAAGCTTTCTGAGAATTAATCGGATGGTGTGAGATATCTTGTTTAAATTAAGATTCCGATTAAAACATAAGATTCAGTGAAAGTGAAAGCAAAGAATCTAAAGAAAGTGCACAGTAAGAATTGATAATACTCAAGTAAATACAGAGATATACATTTCGATCGGAATGGCAAAGAATAGATACTTCATAATAGTAATTTTTCTGGCATATTTGTGACTCGAAATGCTTTGCGACAAAGCAGTGGTCCAACAATCTTCGCGCAACTATGTCAACGTCAGTTTGTTATGATATAAAGTGTGAAAATATATGACAATTACCTAAAATAATTTTAAAAAATTCTTAAACTGCGCCTCACTGAAGAGTAGTCCTGCAATTTTTGATTATTACAATTATTTTACATATTTTATATCACGATGTTGAAACGACACCAGTGGACATTTAAGGGTAATTGAAAACCTTGACGTTCCAGTGTTAATGTCGAAAATTCGGGAGAATAAAACATTCTGGTATTTTTTTAGAGAAACAATGTTACTGTAAATTCCGGTACATCCTTTTTGCCTTTTAAATATGTTACGACGCATCTATACGCGTCTATAACTAACCACTTGGGGGTTTTTCTGGTGAAATAATATTATCAACCAACTTTCACTGAGTCAAGAAAGCGTGATTATGCAAATTAAGTGTGTTATATAAGTTCTGTATTCGCGAGTTTTAGGAATTAGTTGGTGAGTTCAGGATCGTGAAATTATTAAGTGCAAATCGGAGTTTATCATTTGAAGAAGTATAAAAATATCCCTCGAAGGTGATTAAATCCAGATAAGTATCGTATTCAAGACCTCGACTAGAGGACTCAACTTCATAAAAGTACAGGTATCGGGAACATTGTTTAAGTAGAAGTTTAGCTTATTAGTGCGCGACGTATTTTATATTGAGCTCGTATAAGTTATCATGGAATCATTTGAGGGTCCGTATTATTATTCCCAGGTTAACGAGTCTCACCTCCGCTCTCTGCTATTTGATCTTTTATCTTAATTAGATTATCATTGTGCGTGTTTGATATTTTGGTGACAATAAAATAATTAGAGTGAATCATGTTTACCGATTATTCAGTTCCTCACAAACATATAGCCGGTTCTGAGGGTAGACAAGGGGGATTAGAGGGAAGCAGGAACCGACAGGCATTACAATGTAATCAAAGTTTCTTTAAAATTTGCTTGTTTTTAATCCATAATTGAGCGGAAATGTTAGGTATGAAGTTGTTACTGTAATATACATTGTTTGTAAATGGAAGTTGTTACAAACACAATTTCACACACAAAGATGGAAATAATTTATTGGAAACTCGAACTTCTGGAGTATGCTGTATAATTATTCTAAAGAAAGTCTCAGTTACGTTTATTTTGTCATCTGGATTATACTATAAGTAGATAATGTTTATTCCATTACTACTTGTCATTCTAATATTTTTAAAGTTCATTTATGAGGGTATCATACGAGACCTTTTTAAGGTTTGGACAGTGATCACTTACAAAAGAACTATCTAAAACGTAACTTTTATCATAATTTAAAACAATTGATTAATGATTGTAGAAAATCAATGGTAGAAGTTTTATCCACTGCACTTCTATGTATGGATACAGCTGCATTGAGAATAAAATTCGAGTCAATTAATTATTCCTCAAAAACACTTGTTATTCTTCGAAAAGTTATCAAATCCAAACATCGGATGATAAAGATTAAAATCTCCAAAAAAGAACACCAGAGCAGTAAGAATTTCCAGAAAACATTGGACTAAGGAGGTATTTTATTCCTGTGTGGAAAGCAAAAATTCTAAAAACATAATAAATTGAATGTAATGCTAGTTTTTTTTCTATCAAAATTTCTATATTTTTCGTTTGATCCGTTTGTGACAGAATTAGTGAGACAGAAATTTTCGCTGGTATAGTAATCATTAATCCGCTTTCCAGTCGTTCTTGTCTATCCATTCTGAAAATAGTTTTCTTTGGGAAATTAAATTTATCTTCGTCTTTAAAAAAGTTTCTTGAAAACTCCAGTCGTCTGCAAGCGAAAAGGGAGGGATGCTTAACCAGACTGATTCCTTTTTAAGGTTTCTAGATTTCTATTGCAGAAGAATCATATACGAAAGGAAAAATGAAGATTTTTTTTTGAAAATTCCATCCTCTCTTTGAGGTAAAAAGAAAATCAAACATATATTAATATGGAAATTTTTCACTAGCGAAAAAAAGAAAATAACATCAGAGGACATAAAAAGGAAATGCGATCTATTTTCATTCTATGTATAAAATATTAGATACATTGTGATGTTGGTTTCCCAAACGTAGGGTTAATATGAGTTTTTTACACAGAGGAAAGTCTCCTTTTTCTGTTGGAGAGATAGGGCGATTGTGGAAGTACTTTGTCTTCCCTTCCTTTAAAGTATTATAAATCGTTGGGTAAAAATTGCTCACATTGCTTTTTGAGTATTTTCAAGAATGTACTATTTGTTCCTCTAATGCTTCTTGAAGTTTTCAACATTACATCCCTGTTTTTTTTCCAACTAACACTGTATAATTGGGCCCAATGGAATAGCTTTTACTATGATAGAGCAAATTTCAGAATTGGTATCCTGGAACCTTCTAAGATCTCCCAGGGTTAAAAGTGCTTTTTAGATTTAAAATTAATAGTTCGTTTTTTTCCTTAATATATGCAGTAAGGCTTTGGGGGTTGTCTGGGTAATCTGTTTCACATTTGTACATTGTACTGAATGAGTCTTTCTACGATTTTTGCATATAATTCATTTTTGATAAAATTTACTTGGACGAAAAGAAACTGAAACAATCATTTCACTTTCGAGGTTAATCTAAAAAAACCTGAATGCTATATTTAATGAACTAAAGGGCAAGGGTTTTTGATATTCTAAAGCTAAAAATCGCTATAAGTACTGGAGAAATATTCCTATTTTTTTTAAGAAAAATATTCTATTTCTATTATTTTAGCATCATTGGTCTCCTGCAGTTCTGTAGCCAAGTTTGCTAAAGATACCTAAGCTGGGATCCCATAAAGATAAAGCCCGGACACGAATCTGTTTTATATAATTTTTGTTATAACAGAAACATTTGAATTTCTTTGTAGTTAAATTTCACTACGCAAACTGATACGAGATAAATCATTTATTCAATTCCTACTATTAGTTCACACTCTCCCTATATGTATTTATTTATACATATATATCCTTTTTCAAATTTTCAGTCTTTAATAAAATATTTTTTATTCATACACTCAAGTTCAAATACATTTTTTAAAACTTGTATTGGATGACACTTGATGCCAATATAGTTTTTTTTCCAAATAGTAACTCATTAATTAAATTAAATTCCCTGTAGTGCAATGAATAACACATTGGATTTCTAATCCAAAGGTCATGGATTTTGAATCCCTCTTGGGATGGCCTAATTTCTGAGAATGTGATTTCTTTTTACTATACAGTTTTATTTGAATAATTAAATTTAAGTAATGAATAAGTAGTAACAAACAAAAATAATAGTCCAACACCATATATAGAAAGGAAAATGGAAAATTACAAAGAAAGTAGCTTTCTTTTTTGCCACTTAATATTCTAATTCTGTTATATGTATATACATATTTATATTACAATTGTAATTATTTAAACAAAAGTAACTAAAGAGAAATATTTCTTTGTTGACCTAAGTGGGAATAGACTTCAAAATTTTTTTTACAGTACTTCTTTTTGCTACGTTTGAAAAACAAGTTAGATATATTTCCATGTTTAAAGATTTTTATTTTAATTTCTGCGTGTAAGTGAGGCGGATTGTGATGTGTTATTGATGAGACTTGTCCAAAAATATGTGATGTCCATGTATCTATCACATTTTCACTTGTTACTGTGTTTGGATCATAGATTTCTTTTATATCGATTCCCGAGTTATTCTTGAAAAAACATCCAGAAAACACAAAAGTGAAAATATACTTTCAGTTGAAAAATAAAGGAAATGATACGATTTACAATTGTACACTTATGCAAGCTTAACTATAAATAATCCTCTGCCTTCGCAAACAAAGCAACCCGAGGTCTATTGGTGATAGAAGTAATTTTAACCACGATCGAGTGACGAGGGTGACATATTATATGACAACTCACTCTCCGAATTCCATACCACATCAGTAAGTTTACTTTCAACCACTACACATTCTAATTGCAGCGTGTTTCCAGTTTCATCAATTCTTAAATATTCGTCTTGGCAGAAAAAAATGCTGTCCATGAATTTGTGATCATAACAATATGGTACTACGTTTACAAAAATTATCAGGAGGGAAAGTTACATTTTCTTCACACAATGAAACAACATGAGGGCTAGTGGCGACGGACCTCGTAATTCTAATCCTGGGTCTAGAGACGAGAATAACTACTGAGATGGCACCTTTTTCCAATTTACCAATCCCATCAACGTAGCAAATTTCTGCTTAAAATATGCAATATGCATCAGCCCCTCTACTCGGCGAACCTTCTATAGCATCAGGATTCAAACCTGCGACATGCCGGCCACGAGTTCATGAACATAACTATGGCCATAAAACAAAAAGTATGATGCAGAATTGTAATATTTATTATTATGGTAAAAATTGTTATTTATTAACCAATTTTTAGATTTTAACAGTTAAATGTAGCTTAACTTTCCCTTTAATTAGGAAATTTCAAAGACATTTATAATCGAGAACCGTTGTATTAAATAAATTCATGATTGAATAATACAATGCGAATTACTTAAATAAAATAACTACAAATATTTTGTGTTTAGTAAATAAACACTGTTCATCGCTGGTCACTCGTAGAAAATAGAGATCCTTTTAACTGCTGTTAGAAGGAATTTAGCAACTATTACGGATGAAATACCACAACCATTAATTAAGCTTAACAATCAATCAACCGATGTTTCAGAGATCAGGAATGGCTCCGCTAATGCGTTAAGCACCCCTCTAATGGGTGCTGAAGGACTCTTGAATCGACTAATGCACTGTTAAATGTCATATAAAGGAGAAGAATCAATTAGTGATGGAAGAAGCGGCGTCTAATGCTAAAGAATATCTCAGATTGGGACTATGCTGAATGAAATAGTGAACAATGTTAAATGCATCATTTATCAGTTTGTATAAATATTAATTCTAGTTGAATTTTGCTTTCAACATTTGAATGGGGTATTTTCTCCATAATCGGTTCTATATTTTTATACATAATAGAACACAAAGCAGTTTGTTTAATATATTATCTTTATTGTGATTTTCAGAATTTATTTTAATACAAAAATTACTACTTAAGTACTATCACAACCATACTGGTGACGTTGAATAAAACCGAATGCATTCAAAAACGAAATACGTTGGGAAATGAAAACTGGAATATGGAGGGCGTAATCGAAAAATATTATATGGAACATAATAAGAAGACAATAAAAGAAATAATGACAGCATATGAAAGGATAACTACTTCTATTATTTAATTTAATATATTTTTATTTAAGAGTATTATATTAATTGCACATTATAATCATATTATTATGTAATAATAATAATAATAATATTATAAATAATATGTATATATAAATTATATCATTATTATTAACTTTATATCTAAATTTTAATTTTAAATTTAGTAAAAATCAAATTCGCATTTTAGTATTCAAACTTGCTATACCAATAACGGTTAGGCTTAGAAGGGCTGCAAGCCAATAAATATGAAACGAAACAAGATCGCCAATTTAGCGCCTACAACACATGCGAAATTGAGTTTGTCAGTTTGGCGAGTTATCTTGAAATTTGTATGATTGCGTTAGTACAAGGGTCAGCTTTGCTTCCAAAGCGCCTTCCAGCGAGATTCTTCTTCAAAGCCAGGAGCAGATGAAAATAACTTGGTGCGAGTTCAGGACGGTATGACAGATGGTGTAAACTCCAACTAAGAGCTGCAATATGGTTTTGTATAGCCGTCGCAATGTGTGGTCGCGCATCGTCATCCAAGAATAGAATGCAAGATTTGAGAAGCCCAGGATACTTTTCTGAATCCATCTGCTTGATTGAGGTCGACCTCTACCAAGCACGTTCACCTGCTGTTCCGTCGTTCGTCCATAGCCGTTAAGCGCTTCTTCCGTATGCAAAACCCAGAATATTTTCTGAAGGGCTTTTTGAAGCTTATCAAGAGGAATGGCAAATGTCTCAATGTACTTGGTACTTATGTGGATAAACGAACTTATGTCTTATCTTCAATGTCTCATCTATATTTTGATTTTCAAACACAACTCTGACCACAGTCTAAAGGGGAAGTTTATTTTTCGACTCATTCTCGTATAAAACTATAAAAGCTGCAATTAAAATACTTTTCATTGAGACAAATATAAATAAACAATATTAATGAAAAGCTATTAATAGTATAATATAAATATATTTAACAGTCAAACCTTTGATAAGAAAGTATGAAAAATATTGAATATCTTTTTTTATTTCATGGAACATTGTTCTACAGTTTTAATTCAAAATTTCAAATAAATAATTACAAGTAATCAAGAGTTGTTTTAATACTCCTGTAACATATTTTTTTTTAAAAAAAATTATTACTGCTCAGAAATTTTAACAGAGAGTTTTTTATAAGAGTATCGTAGGATCTGAGGAACGTTTATTTATCTGTGTAAAATTTTATTTTAGGACTATTTAAGCCAAAATACGTTTCCTTCTAAATGGAATGTAAACATTTGAAAGGTAAATTTTTAATTTAATCCTTGTTTTTTTTTTATTTAAATGTCATGTTTCTCTTTTTATTTTATTTTATTGACCAATTTCCTTTCTTCTCGATTTTTTTTTTTTGTTCAATTTTTCCTTCTAATCAAATATACATTCATACAAATCAACCCAATGTTCACATTTAAAAATTTTTCATTTTCCTTCGTTTTTTTTCTTTATTTTTGATTTAAAAAATGCCATCATTACTTGCTGATAAAAATGTGATCATATTATTTTGATTTTTCCGCTTCGTTAAAGAATAATTAAAATTCCTTAATATTTATAATACTTTTTTAATACGTAACTCGAAAGAATTTCTTCAAATAAAGACTTTTCACACTCAACACTCTTCAAAATGAATTTCATCTCGTTCAATCGTATCTAGCGACAAACAGATAAAATCCGGGACTACATTATTGAATTATTTTCTGAGAATTAGACGCAGCACGCTGCATAGCTGTCAAATTTTTATTATTATAAGATATTTGCGTAGTTTTCTGGTGCATAACTTATTCACTGCTTCCTTATCAGCTGACGCTATTATGTAAAACTACTTTGAAGTAACCTGAAAAATAGAATTAATAAATATATAAAATACATTAGAGTTAATGTGGTATTTTATATAAAAGCTTTCTGCACACACCAGGAGTCAAAATATAAAATATTCCATAATCTTCTTATAAAATAAAATACATTGCATCTTTTTGATTTAAAACAATAATTTAAATACTTTTAAATGAATTTAGTTTTTTTATGTAATTCAGAATTTCTAAATGATAGTTTCGACGACAAAAATGCAATTCGATATATAAAAAAGTTAATGGCTAATGAGATTTTTACATTTATCTTTTGTATCCTTTTGATTTATTTGCTTTTATAAATTCCAAGATTCCATTTTTTATTTAAGCTGATAAGCTCAAAAAAGTTGTATTTTGAACAGGATATATAACAAAAAAGGGAATGAAACTCGATTCTGTGTGTGATGTAGTGATATTTTTTTTTTCTAAATTTGATAGATACTGTTCAAGAGATCTAGTTGCCTCTCACATTTTCCATCCTAATAATCCTGAATTTAATTTTATTAAATTCGAAAGCTTCTATTTAAATGTGAAGGGGTTTTGAAGAAGGGTCGATCTTAGAGCCTCCTCGATGATTCCATGGTGATATCGTACTTTTTCTCATTATTTGTCGCCTAGAAGGACAAAGGGTGACCTTGATCGAATATTCAATGATTGTCACAAATTTATTTTTCAAGATCACGCTAAGATGTGAATTTTGCCTGAAAAACTCAATTTTCCCACAAGGAGAGTATTGTTGTAGGGAAAACAAGCTACGTGGCAAGTTTCAATACTGACTTAAAAAGGTATATCCTGGTATTTCTCTTATGCATTTGAATAGTAATAACCTATGAAACTAAGTCTGTATATCCGAATAATTCATTTATATGTTTTAATAATGCTAATTTAAAAAAGTGGAAATCCTATATAAATTTCGGGTATCATTTTGATTCCACAAAAAAAAAAAAAAAAAAAAAAAAAAAAAAAATCTATTGTAAAAATGACTTGGATGTTCATCCCTGTTCACTCAAATGGGTTAAAAAAAGCTTACTAAGCGTATTTCCAAGAGTATTAAACTTGAAAAGAAATATACATAAACGTAT